GAAATATTAGGCATGTTATTTTGATTATTCTAATTCCGTTCTTGTCACAATAACGAAACGGTTTTGAGACACAAAATGATCCGACAGACACAAATTCTTCAATGGACACAGTTGAACTGACAGACACAAATGATGTAACAGACAAAAATGATTCAATAAACACAAATGCTTCAATAGACACAAATGATCGAACAGACACAAACGCTTCAATAGACACAAATGACTTAACATACACAAATGATCCAATAGACATAGATGATCGAACAGACACAAACGCTTCAATTGACACAAACGCTTCAAAAGACACAAATGATCCAATAGACACAGGTGATCCCATAGACACAAATGATGCAACAGGCAGATATGATCCAAGATACATGAATGTTCAACTAGCAAAAATAAACCAAATGATGCAAATGAAATGATAGATAACCCAATTGTCCCAAAAGAACCAAAAAGCCGCCTGCCATCAGCAACATGGACTTCTTAATTTGATTTGTGGAAGTTTTCAATACCCTTTGAAAATAAGGAATTCGCAACTAAAACGTGATAGTATAAATTCTGATTTCTTCATCGTCAATTAAAAGTCTCCGTTGAGTCGGATTTAGGAAAACGGAATGTTAGTCAGTGTAATACTTATGCTGGAAAATTAGTGTCAATCAAGTTTTCACCTCATTAACCGCTTTAGGAAAAAACTAAACAAATACCGTGGTAACCCACACTGGATAAGTAGTGTCAATCAAGTTTTCACCTCAGTAGCCGCGTCAGGAAAAAACTAAACAAACATTGTGGTAACCCACACTGGATAACCAATGCAAAACTGTTAGGAAAACAAAGTGTAGACATGAGTTTTTCCAGGCCCCGGAAAACATTCTGATAGCGTGATTTTTCCCATGAAAAAGGAATTTTTTTTTCCGTGTAGAAACTGGTGATAAGACTTCCGAAGGCAAAAACAAAAAGGCTTTGGACGCGTTGAAAACAATGCTAATGCATTTTCATCGTTTGTCTAATTAGTAATGAGGATTATAAAAATCCCTCAAGCTCTTTAAAGAGTCAAATATTAGTGGATATAAAACAGCTATATAGCTACTGTTTATAATAATAAGTGCAACATAATGAATTACTCTATGTCATTTGATTTGCTTTGCAATATTCAATGTTACAGGAAAGTCTATCACTTGGAGGTAATTCAATTTCTACGGTCAACTTATTCAACAGCATTTAAAGTCATAAATCTTCTTTGATGCGCCGCTTTGAAGGTTAGCGACACTTTAACTTGTTAATCATAAATCTCGAGATGACATTGATAACCTATCCCAAATTCTCACATTACACCATACGCAGTTCTCACGAACTTGCAAAAATTATCGGTCGCTCCTGAAAGTTCTAATTTAGAATGTCGTATTTTACTGCTACAGAAGTGGAGTGTCTGGTCCGAAACATTGTTAGCTTTCCCTTTTAAGAACGGAAAGATCAATTCTGAAATATATTTCGCACAACTGCATTCAGCCAGAATGTTTATATGACTGACAGGTGACTGGAATGGACGTGGTGCATCGAAGTTATTAGGACTTTCGCTTAGGACATACGCAATGAAATAAAAAAGTTAAGCTCCGTCTCTGTCGACGAGAGTTTCTTAAATCCAACAATTTGGCAGCAACAGAGGTCTATTTGTTGTTTTTGATCGCAGCTATGTATTTTTTCGGGTACATAAACCAACATCATACGCACTTTTGTCCGTTCTTGCACGGAGTGCGAAGGAGGCGGTTTAAAAGGTAATAAGGTAAATTAGGCGAGTACACCCAACATCATGAGGTGTGATTTTTGAGAACTACACCAGTGAGCAGCAACGTGCGACCGTTAGCTATAAAAGTTAATAATTCTTCGACGCGTTTCGTTTTACTGTCGTAAACTTCTTTAGGGAGTTCTAAAAGTTAACACCAATTGCCCGCATTTATAAGCGAAAGTGGGCGGTTTTAACTAAAACCTTGGCCCCTAAAAAACAAACTGTAAATTGCATACAGAGTTACGTGAACACAGAGCATTAATCCTAATGATTAGTTCATTGACTGTTGAACTCTTGAATATGGAAAATTACATTGGCTGCGGCCCCAACCAAAAATTCTCGATTTCCATTCGTTTTAATTCATAAGGAATTCTGAAATGCGATTTTAACTGAGGTATAGCTGTCTTATTAGTTTTTCCGTTGTTTGTTTGGTGTTTTTGGAAACATTATTCCTGTGTTTTCCTCACCCCTTTAATTGCAATTTTAACGAGAAATCTTAAAAGCGGAGAAAACTAATAAAAAACCTCATTGCTGTTTCTCAACTTTCAGATAAAAGGTGTCTCCGAAAGAGACTTCATCAAACACTCTTTTAAATCTTGTTTAGACAGAACAGAGTGAAACTAAGATAGTTCTAGAAGACCAGCTGCATTCTGAACCCTCGGCTGTAACGATACTGTAGTCGTCAACCATGTCACATTCCAGTTACATGGTTGACGACTACATGCAAGTTCTCACGAACTCTGACTGACCACACACGAGACAAAACTAGAAACTCGCTGTTACGACCCCCTCGTAGATTCTCCATCTAATTAGTTGCATTATTTTTTTTCAAGGGATAACGGAATTTATTACCCCTGGAGCGGCCTGACAAAAAAGGATTTGTCTATTTTTAGTTTTCTGTGGGTATATTTAGCGCACAAATTCGCACGGAATTTAATTAGTTCTTGAACGGAGCACGAAGGAGGCGGGCGGCTAGGGTAAGTAAGTAAGTGAAGTAAGTGAACCCAGCGGTATGTAAGTTCCTATTAGTTTTGGGAAAAACTTTCCCATTGTACTTTTTCTGAAGAGTTTCTCAATGTTCTTTCTTATCTTCACCATAAAATTAGTTTTATCTTGTTGCAGCCTTTATGAATAACACTGCAAACAACACCCGACGAATAAAAATGAGGGACAATCGGCAAGGAATAGGTATGTAACATTGTTCGATATGCAAGTCACAGTTTTAAGAAACTTACCTGATTATAATTATATTTTATGCTTCCTTTTTTCAAATATGGGTTTTTTCGTTTTGAAGCTTTTATGAAGACCCTGAAATTTTCACCTTCTTTTAACCCATGGGGTTTGTATGCGACTCCTATTATGGAAAACACCAACAACTCTCAAAGCCCAGTCAATGTACTTGATCACAGGGAACTGTAGTCGAACTCCAAACGTTTTGAAATCTTTCAATCGTGGTATGATAAATTAAGTAAAGTCAGTCATCTGAAACAGTCGATCGTTCACGCTCTTGGTAGCCTGTAACTTGAGCCCTGAACAATTTCACTTAAAAAACTCGATCGCCTTGTTTAATAGTTGGTTGAATTGAATCTTTTGGATTAAGCAGATTCAGTTTTGAGTTCGTTTCTACCTTGGGAATGCCAAAGTTAACAGCTATTGTTCATTTTTAAAAATTGCGAGCAGGTGAAAGTAGCACAGGGGAGCGCTTGCAAGCTTCTTGTTTATAGGTGTTTCAATTTCTTGTCCAACCATCGTTTGGACAATCATATGTTGGAATGAAGTGATAGGAGAATTTAACAGTAGCAAATGCTTTATGTGATTAAAAGATAGCAATCGTCTTTTAAAAGAACGCAAAAGAAGGGTTTCGTGATATAACTTATAATAATAATCCTCTTTAAGAACGGATTTCTAAGATTTGAAATCTGGTTTTTTATTTCATGTTTTGTCACCAAATCCGAAATCAGGATATAAATAAAACTAAAAACTAAATCCAGATTTCCCAATCAAAAGAACCCCATAATCCCTTGTGTTTGTTGTTAGAAATTCATTAGGAAATATGACTGTATAACATATCGTGGACGAAGTGACCTCATAACGCACGATGACTTCTTCTCTTCAGGTTCTGCTCTGCTGTTTCTGGCACTTTTTGTGACTTTTCAAATTCTACCATCAATGCGTGCATTGCCAATAGATTGCAAAACAAACACTGCAGTTTGCCTGGAAGAAATAATGAAGGAACTCACCCAAGTTCGATTTGAGGTTAACATTCTCGCAGAGAACAGAACATCGTTGACATGTAAGTAAGATATCCTTCGCTTACTTGTATTTATCATTCCATCTTCTCTCAATCGTTACTTGTATTACGGGAAACTTATTCTGCAGAATGGTGAATCCAATTTATGTTTCAAAGGACTAATTTTGCTATTCTAAAATATACAGTTTTCTCTTCGGAGTTCTTATCCTTTGCAATACTCTTTTAAAAAGCAGTGTAGCTGAACATGGAAAGGATAAAAAAAAGGAAAACACTTTGAATTTTTTTTAATAAGCTTTCTATGAAAGGAGCAACAAACAGTCTAAAGGAAATAATGATAAAAAATAGTACAGATTATAATGAGTGAATCAAGTAGCACTCCTTTCGCTAACAATCAGTGTACATCTACAGAGTACGTTAATAAACTTTTGTGTTCATACCATTTAATTTGATACGACAAATAAGAAAAAGGTCTATGAAAAATGTAGGTTTCATCTTTTCCTTTCCAAGATAGAAATTTTTTACACATTTTTCGTCAGGTGCAAATCTATACCCACCTTTGTTTTAGATATACCTTTTTTTTAGATATTCTTACACCATCGAAAACCTTCTTTTTTTATCTTTTTTTTTGTTGTAATTATTTAAAGGTCGAGATTGTTTAAATAAAGGAAATAATGATAAAAAATAGTACAGATTACAATGAGTGAATCAAGTAGCACTCCTTTCGCTAACAATCAGTGTACGTCTACAGAGTACGTTAATAAACTTTTGTGTTCATACCATTTAATTTGACACGACAAATAAGAAAAAGGTCTATGAAAAATGTAGGTTTCATCTTTTCCTTTCCAAGATAGAATTTTTTTACACATTTTTCGTCAGGTGCAAATCTATACCCACCTTTGTTTTAGATATACCTTTTTTTTAGATATTCTTACACCATCGAAAACCTTCTTTTTTTGATCTTCAATAGCTAAGAACTGTGCTGAACTGTACAAATCTGGTCGAAGGGTCAGCGGTGTTTACCCAATCGACCCAGATGGTTCAGGCATCTTTAATGTATATTGTGACCAAACTACAGCCGGCGGGGGATGGACAGTGATCCAGAAGAGAATCGATGGCTCTGTCGATTTTAACCGCACCTGGGATGACTACAAGCATGGCTTCGGCAACATGGTCGGTGAATTTTGGCTCGGACTGGACAAAATAAACCGCCTGACACGAAACAAGACAAAGAACAAGCTTCGAGTAGATCTTGGAGTAAAAACTGGCAAAACTGTTCACCCTGAGTATGGCTGGTTTGGGATTGGGACCGAGACAGCTAAGTACCGGCTATACCTTGGCAAAATCATAAGTAAATAGACCTTTTTTTAGCATTCACCGCTCGATCTTTATACATTACTTCTCTCTCATCTAAATCTCGATCTAAAACTCCACGTGGTCGCATAATGTTATTAGTAAGTAGCAGGGTAGTCCTGAGGTAGACCCGCATGTTCTGATTGGTTCTTACTCGGTCGGGTGTTTCGTCCGAGTGCCACATAACAAATTTCTTACTAACCTTATTTTATTTTATTTATTATTTGTTTTTACGGATAACTACAAGTTTGAAGCGATACAGACATTTTAAGGACCCTTGAATTATGCGGATTTCTTTTGTTCTGTTTTGAAACAGATGCCACTGTTTCCAATGATTCCCTCGGTCCTCATAAAGGTTTCGTTTTTGGTACCTGGGATAAGGTTCCTGCTGGTTGGGCTCAAAAAATAGGAGGAGGCTGGTGGTATGACAGCTGTATTACTGAATGTGCTGTTTCGTCAAATCTCAATGGCATTTATCCACGTTGTGGAAATGAAACCTATCCTAAAGCCGCTATCCACTGGGGAAAGTTAGATTCTACTTGTGCCAAGAGAAGCACTCCAAAATCAACTGAAATGAAAATAAGACCAGTGGAATTTATGTGCGGGGCTTGAATTCTTCGTACATGAAATGCTTATCTACTTAATTGACGCTGTTTGGAAAAATCAAGAAGTAGTTTGTGCGACTGAAAACACCGATTACTTTTTTCAATCTCTTTACTCCAAGACTTTTAGATTTTTAGAATGCAAATTAGATTACTAACAGCTTCATAGACTCGACTACACTTTAGTTGTAAAGAAAATATATCGTAGCCAGTTGTTATCAGAAATGTTTCATTATTTGCAGAATTTATGGGATTTTTTTAAATAATACGATTACAATGTCACCGAACAAAATTTTAGGAAAAAAAAATTTCATAACACAAAAATTAATTCAGAAGAATCCTATATGCAGTGGAATGCTATATGCCATAAGATAGAGTTTATACATGTTTCGTTATTAATACTATGGTTTTTCTCTTTCCTAATGATTTTTTAAGCTTTGCTATTTCAGTGCCATCAAAGATTAGATAACAAAAGATACCTTTAAAATGTTAGTTTATAATTTGTGAGAAAATAAAGACTGTTTGTAATATTTCTACTTCTAAATAAATCTCTTGTCGATTGAGTTGCCATGGGAATCCACTTGTCGAATACCTGCTCCTATGCTCGAGGATTTCTAAGCCTACAATGGTTTTCAATTTGATATTTGCAGTGAGGATCTTTCGCTTGATCTGACGAATACGTTTAAGTATCGAGGTCCACTTCCAGACCTGGTGTAACCGCTCATCTGCGTACAAGAGTTAGTTTCACATGTTTCAAATGTCTTTGCAGCATATTGAGCGAGATAACTCCTGTTAAATACTTTCGTGTAAACAGAATGACAAAAACAATCATGCTCCAAAGTAGGAAATGTTTTCATCCATCATACGGAATTCATCGACGGTATACTTAAAATTTCACGGGTTGAATAGTTGAGTAACAGACAAGAGGACATACGTTCTCAGTTTACTCCTAACTCTGCACTTTGTTCAGATGGCTAATTAACGAAAATGAAAAATGAAACATTTTTAAATTTCTTTCCCAAAGTCATATTGCCGTTTTCCTTCATATCGAAATTTTTACTTCAAGTTGAGTGATACAGTCCAGTTTCTTTGGATGTCCGTGGTATGCAGAGGCTGGTAGAAAACACACTTAGTTTTGTGTTTAAAGGCTTTAGTTATTTAACTAAAAGCGCGATACAGCAATATCCATAACATTTCAGGAACATCATTACTCTAATAATGGTGTCATTTGCATTCAATTTTCTCGATTAGATACGAACAGAATTAAAAAATATGTGAGAACATACCTAATATTTCTTGGGTCAACAAGTTTTCGTACGCAGAGTTCCGAAAGCTTATTGATTGGTAATAAGTAGATTTGCGACGCATAAATTTCCCTTGTATACAAACTTAAATTTTTTTTGTAGAGAGACCGAAACAGTTCCATGAGACCTTATATAGCCAATAGTAGATATGTTATCTTCTTCAATTTTATAGTTTGCCACAGCATTAGATCAGAAGGAATACATCAACCAGAAATTATTATATTTCATAAATTTTGATACTCAGGGAAATCCAGAACGTGCTCCGAGGCCACTAATGTGATATTCAATGATTCTGTAAGGTCTAGGAATATCTTCCCTTGTTTCATCATATTCATGACACTTAATCTTAATTTAGCAATTTACTTTACAGACACAAGTGGTTTATATCAGTTTTACACGTAGAGAGAAAACGGCCGACTATTCCCGTATTAATATTTTACTGTACCTACCATTTATTTCAGGTCTAACAAATAGTCAGACTCTCCTGAAAACTTGAAGGATAAATAGTACTATAGCTTTAACGAAATCTCAACGAATTTGACTACAAACCACAATCTGAGAGAGAAGATCTTTTCAGACACGCTAAAAGTTACTTTAGACACAACGGGCGCTAATAAGACCGGCTGAAACCCTTACCTTCATTCATGACGGGCTTGATGAAAATTAATTCCAATATACGAGGAATTCCGTTGCTACCTGTGAAGCGCGAAAAAAGTTCTTTCACCTGTAACAGTTTCAGTAATATATTAATTCACTTCTCGTGTGTACTGCCACAGAATAGTGTGCCTTCTGGAAAAACTGTCCCCGAGTACGTAAGAAAATTATACACAGCTTTAAAAGTATACTTATTCCGAAAATAACAAAAGTTTTAACATACACGTTTCAGTAGGTAAACCAAAGCCTCTAAACACAAAACTGACTGTTTTTTTCTACCAGCCTTTGCGTACCACAGACATCCAAACAGACTAGACTACATCACTCGAGTCCAGGCAAAGTTTTGAGGTAAAGGAAAACGGCAATGTGACTTCGAGAAAGAAATTAAACAGTGTTTCATTTTTTCTCTTTGATAAACTAGCCGTGACATCATTCTTTACAACAGTGTGCATCATTTCAGTTGATGTTGGAGCACTGCTCTCGACACTGGTAGGATCTAATTTTCACCTATGAATAACAGCCCAGGTTTCATTTTCACAGCGCGGATAAATACCGATGATATTTAAATGAACAGCACATTTAATTCTGTTGCCATACCACTAGCCTACAACTCTTTTTAAGCACAATCAGCAAGAACCTTATCCCAGGAACCATAAACGAAATCTTCGTGAGGAGCGAGGGAGTCAGAGGAAACAGAGGCATCTGTTTTCAAAGGGAACAAAAAAATACATATTAACGTAAAAGTCTATTGACGTAATCTGTAGACGTACACTGATTATTAGCGAAAGGAGTGCTACTTGATCGACTCATTATAATATGTATTATAATTACTATTATTATTATAGTTATTATTATAATTATTATTATTATAATTATTATAATTATTATTATTATAATTATTATAATAATTATTATTATAATTATTATAATTATAATAATTATTATTATTTTATCATTGTTTCCTTCATTACATCAATCAAAACCTTTGAATAATTACAACAAAATTAAAAAAAAAAAGAGACCTAGGTGGGCATAATAAAGCAAGCTAATTAGATGCCCTTTACGTTAAATAACATTTTTTTCATGCAGTAAAACAAAAGCGATTCACATATGTAAGAGAGCGAATAGGAATCACACTTTATATGTATCAATAGTACGTGGTCTAAGGAAGACATTTATAAATACTGAGAAAAATGATTCACAATAACAGCACTTTTTAAAGTTTCCTAATAGGCTTCTTCCGTATTGATATTGATATCATTTTAATAGTAACATCCTATAACTGTTGGACAGAATCTCCTTCGTCTATTATGAAGATGCAAGGGCTCAGGTGCTGCAAATATGTACTTCTAGTGTCATAATCATGGACTTCAGACACAAAAGCCAGAGCACAATTAGGCGATTTTTTTATATCTACAATATGATCGTAGAATAGTTGACACGTACTTATTAGCTTTAGCCTCCAACTCTCGTTAATTTTGATTACGTATAAAGCAAATGAATGAGGATAAAAACGACGATAAATGACAGTAATAGAACACACCCAAAAAAATTTTCACGTTTTTCAAACACACAGGAACTAAACTGTCTTACGTATTCTGGAACCAACTCCTTTATTCCTCAGTTCCTCCCTACAAAATCGGCTCCTAACCGGAGAAGTCATTGTGCAGTGTGAATGCACTTCAACTACGATATATTATACCGTAACATTTCATAGTGAATTTCATACAGACAAAGATGAATTATTTAGTGCTTTCGATTGGAAAATCTGGATTTAGTTTTTGATATCCGGATTTCGGATTTTGTGACAATTGAAAACCAGATTTTTAAGCTTGAAAATCCGTTCTAAAGGTGGATTATTATTACTTATCCAACTTCAGATGTCATGAATTTCCTTGTTTTGCATTCTTTTAAAAGATGAGTGCTATCTTTTAATCCCATAAAAATTCAACTATCAGTCATTTCATTCCAATTTATGATTGTCCAAACAACAGTTGGATCAGTAATCGAAACGCTTACAAACAAGAAGCTTGCAAAAACTTTCCTTTACTATTTTAAACTGCTCGTATTTCATTTCGAATCGTGTAGACTGCTCAACCAAAAGAGGTGTCCCTGTGTGCGAATAATAAACAGAAAGAGACCGCTGGTCACGACAACAGCTTCGTAAATCCTTTTTTTTGTCTTTTGAAAATTAATGATAATGATACGAATGATTGACAAAATTGGACGACTGCGAAACGAGAGTCCGATTTGTTAATCACGAGTATTATTACAGACAGAATTAGACGACACGAAGTCCTGTTATACGTTTTCAAAACGAGAAAAAAACAATTAAATACGCGTTCTGTCCGTTTACACAGGCATGACTTGGTAACTGTCCCTTTAACTGTCCTATTAAAAAGTCCAGTTACGAGCATGGCGCGTACACTGACTTAGTAGTGCTTAAATTGGCCTGGTGATAACCAGTCAAGTTCAAGAATTTTGTTATGCTTTTGATTAATAGTGGCAATAGGATCGCGTGGAGTCCAATTCGGTCTGTAATCTATAATCACTCGTTTAATTACAGACAGAATTGAACGACAAGAAGTCCTGATACCAGTTAATCATAACCATTTCAATTTCCGAAAAAACAAATACACCTAGAACTAATATCTCCATTGGCGACAATGCCTTTTGTTGAAAATTCCGCCAGTTTGGAAATTCCCAAATTTTTCTTTGGATAAGTGGTTGTTGCTATTATGGATTACCTGAGTGGACTTAGTATGATTGGCTTCTTAAACTGTCCGATTAAAGGTGTCCGATTATAGCCAACTGTCCGATTACAACTGGCCAGAATGATTAGTGAAAAATGAAGCTGCATATGCACCAATAATGGTTATGATTAACTAAAATATTAAAAAAGCAACAACATCAACAACGGCGACAGAGTTATGTTCCTCGTGGTCCAGTCAAGGAACGGATCAAATTCATCAAATACGCCTTTTTAAAAAATTGTCTTATGGGTGTTCATCTCATAAACATCTTACGCCTGCTTAGAGACATGTGCCAACAT